AAAAAAAAAAAAAAAAAAAAAGTATTCTATTCATTGTAAGCCCCCTACAATAGGCCGCACATGTGTCCAACCTGAGCAAATACACTGATTTGGATCTGAAGCCGGAACTGCGAATCGTCAACCCTCGACCCCTAACCCCACAATCCAAAACAGGCCAACCTAAAACCATAAACCCAACAAGTAGGTTGGCCCCTCAAAGCCTCTGAAAAATATTCGTATACATGATCCTCTTATATAAGCACAATCAGGGAAAAATACAATGTGGCAAAGGCCTACCTAGACAAACAACGTCGACCCCAACCCTGAAAGACCTCGGGGCGAACTCCCGAAATCGGGCGCCTCCAGAAATCGAGCGAAGCGGTCGTAGGCTTCTGTCCCCCTCCTTCCATCTTCATATGCTCTCTCATCAACGGGCAGGCTCCAGGTATACTACTATTATGGAAACTAAGCCCCAAAAATCACATTAAGGATGGTTTTTTGTGCCATATACGAATAAAACCCCAAAAGTTGGAAACCGGATTNNAGGACAAACAGTGCTGGGATTCCCTAAGCATTATTCTTAAGGATTGAGGCTTTTGGGTATCCAACTTTTGGTAAGACTATATACGGAGCCTCTGGGTGATGATTTGTTTTGGAATGCTGGGTGTATGGCTTGAGATTTATGGGCGAATTAACGGCTTTGGGTGATAAAGTGGCTATAGCGGCTACCCACGGTACGGAGCTATCTACCTATTCTCAGCAGTCATGATTGAGGGGTTGCATAAGCCAGAAAGATAAAAGTTGGATTTTAGAGTCTACTGCCTAATCAAGAGGTCCAAACAGTCGCAGTTACCGGTGACTTTTGAGGATAGCCCTCGCAACATGTTGCTGAATGCTGCCGGGGATACCCTTCGCATTCTCAACCCCGACCCCCGTAGCTGTTGGAATTTGTCAAGCTGCATGCCGAAGCCCTAAACCCTAAACCCCAAACCCTGAACCCTAAACCCGAAGCCCTAAAGCCCCGAAAGTGGAAACACGAGGAGTAGATGGCCTGAAGGTCGGGGGCAAATGCCCCTCGTCGTGACGAATGACCTCGAAGTTCATGAGTTCAGGGCTTAGGGTTTAGGATTTAGGGTGTAGGGTTTAGGATTTAGGGTTTAGGGTTTAGGGTTTAGGGGCCCTCTACGGATTAAACTTGATGGTTCCGGTCTGAGAGTCGCAGCTGAACTCGCTCGGCAAAGGTTACAGCACAGATTCCACTGTTACGGGCCCTCAACCCAAAGGCTCCATGTACCTTTATAAAGCCTTAAAGGGGTCCCTATATAGGTGCTTTAAGGCCTAAGTATCTACTATATGGGCACATGGAGCCTTAGGGCAAACCTCTGCCACGACCTCTCGACCCACGCGCCAAGGTTCCAGATATTTTCAACATACTAAGTAGACTCAAACTATAGAGTACGAACTCTTCTTCAGTGAGACGCACTGGAAGATGACTAAGCCTGCCTGTTCACCCAAGATGCTAGAAGCAGAAGTACGGCACCCTTATAAAAAGGACGCTAGACGGGACCCTAACTTAGACAACTACCTATATCCTTCCGAGGGGTAGACTTCACACTGGTTGCCGTTTAAGTGTTTAGGGTTTAGGCTAAACCCTAAACCCTAAACCCTAAACCCTAAAACGGTTTAGGGTTTTGTGCTTCTTGGCCCAGAGAATCCAAGTACCCGAATGGCGGGGGCTTAGGTCCCACATACGACAACCACCCTACCCCTATGGCTCAACCTAGCCCAACAGCCTCATCTAGGTGTCTGCGGGCCCGGATGCCTGAAAACTTAAGTCGGTAAAGACTTGCGGTACTACTTGGGTACTTGCATCGCTAAGGTTGGTTCTTGGATAACATAGGGGCCTTAATAATTAGAACAGGGTTTTGGGGGATACTATACCATAGGACCCCCCAAAAAATATATAGGTAATTATTAACACCCCTATATTCGTGCCTCTCGGTAGTCCCTGTGGAAGAAGAGGGGCAGCTCCTCGTACTCCTGGCGTGGAGTTTTTTGAGCTTTTAGGGGTTTAGGGGTTTGGGGTTTAAGATTCAGGATGTAACAGTTCGTCCTTTTGGGGGTCCTTTTAATAAGAGTGCCGTACTACTTGGGGGACCTAAAAAGGGACCCCGATCTAGAGAACTACCCATCTACTTCGCCTTCAAAGTACCTTCAACTCCTCTAGGGTTTAGGTTTAGGGTTTTCTCAGGTTTAGGGTTGAGCGACCTACCTTAAGAACCCAAAACCCACTTTTTTGTAAGCTCTTATTATAAACCCTAATATGGGATTTATAGGGACCCTACAAAGAAGTAGGTTTTGGGTTCTTAAGGTATATGGCATCTTGTTTAACTTGGAAAGGGTGTCTAGAGGGGTTTCCGTGTCTGGGTTGATGATAGGTCTAGAGGAGTGCTTTGGGTTTAGCGTTTAGGTTTGAGGGCTTTAAGGTTTTGGGTTCTAATACACCCCAAAAAATTGGTAACCGGATTAAGGACAAATGGTGCCGGGATTTTTGTTGAGGATTGATGCTTGTGGGTTTCCAGCCTTTGGGATTCTACAAAAGGGCTTAGGAGAAGTGCCGAGATTCCAAAGATGCGAAAGGCCCCCTCGGAGATTTCGGACCTCCTCCCAAGGAAATAGCTGGAACCTTAGGGTAGAGTTTAGGGTTTAGGGTTTAGGGGTTTAGGGTTTAGGGTTTAGGGTTTAGCCTTCGGGTACACCAGGACTCACAGGAGAAAAAGTCTGGGCGTGCTGAGGGTCTGATGCCAGGCCGAGTGGTAAGCCGCGAGGTGAGGGATGACTGACCAGAGTTTAGGATTTAGGGTTTAGGGGTTTAGGGGTTTAGGGGTTTAGGGTTTAGGGTTTAGGGTTTAGGGTTTAGGGGTTTAGGGGTTAAGGGGTTTAGGGTTTAGGGTTTAGACCGACTTTGACGGGTGCTCGCAAGGTGGGGGTGGTTCTGCCACATGAAGCCCGCCACAGCACTGCTCGGTCGCCCCCAACATGTTCTGCCCGCACCGATGCCGCAAGACTTACCCAGGGGGGCTAGGGTTTAGGATTAAGGGTTTAGGGTTTAGGTTTAGGGTTTAGGGTTTAGCGTTAATTTGGAGATTCTTACACAGAGGATGACAACAGTTGGGTAGTTTTCTAAATTAGGGTCCCTTTTTAGATCCCCAATATAGTACGGCACCCTTATAAAAAGGACCCTAAAAGTGGCCCTAATGTAGGGAACTACCCAGTTTCAGTATGAAGACCCTATTCCTTCCTGTGCGTGGGTGTTCGCCGTGTGACATGTGCACCCGCACCCCGAGAACCAGATTTGTGCATATGGGGTCCCAGACATAACCTACAACTCGGCCGGACTTTAGGGTTTAGGGTTTAGAGTTTAGGGTTTAGGGTTTAGGGTTTACAAATCTTAAAAACTCAATGCCTGCACCCTCGGCAACAATTAAGTTCCGATCGTCTGTTAACTGCATTATGCCTGACAAACCTCACCCCCTAGTAAAACATCTTCATACAACCATGTAAGCCCTTTGCAAGCCCTTAACTTACGAGCTCTTGCAAAGCTGCGCAGAACGCTCAATCCTGAACTCCAAACCCTGAACGAACCCCCTAAAACGTGAACCCCAAACCCTAAACGCAAAACCCTGAAAAGCTACACCCTAGACCCTAAACCCTAAACCCTAAACTACACCCTAAGGCAACCCAAGACCCCAATGGGACCGGACCGTACCGGCCTGGAAGGGGTGGTTTGGATCCCCGTCGCACCAACCTCAAGAAAATCTCTAGGGTTTAGGGTTTAGGGTTCTGCTAAAACTATAACTTTTAGTACCCCTAATATCAAGAAGGCTAATCCTAAAAGTGATAAAGCTATAAAGTGACTGTAAAGTTCAACCAAGCTCTGTTCGACATCCATGTATCCTTTCAGGCGTCCTTGTAGCAAAAAAACCTACAGTGTCCCATCAACTCACCTAGAAAACTAATATTATCCTTGTACAAATAAAAGATCGTACAGTGTCCCATCAACCCACCTAGAAAACTAATATCCTCAAGCACAGTACCTAATTCTTAGGACCCTTGGGCCCTTAGGCACCAAAGGGTTTAGGGGTTTAGAGTTTACGGTTTCCGGGACTGCTTTACTGACTCTAGGGTTTTGGCTGTGCCGTTCGGTTGTCAGGTCGTTTAGGACACCCAGGCTTTATGGTTTAGAGCGACGGAACACGTACCAATACTACTCGAAGGCCCCTATACATACAACTCATGCCCCAAATACCCCTTATATCATCCAGTATCCCTTATGTAACCCATCCCCATAATACCCCTTATATTATCCAGCATCCCTTATGTAACCCATTCCCATAATACCCCTTGTATTATCCAGTATCCCTTATGGAAGTCTGGAGAGTCGAGGGTTCTTGAATCAGGAAGTACGCGGATCTTCGGCTCTGTCTGTCGAAGAGATAGAGGTTTAGGGTTTAGGGTTTAGGGTTCAGGGTTTAGAGGCATTTACGAGTGAAGTCGGGAATTTGGCAGGGTCTGTTTCTGTCTAGGTATCGTTTCCACAACGGGGCAGTAGTATACTCCATAACTCTCACATCGAACTTGTCCCCGTTCCGGAAGCAGCTAGGCGATACCGTAGGGGCCTTAATCATTAGAATAGGGTTTTAGGCGCCTTTATAGTTATAGTTCAGTCGCAAAAAACCCTAGCCCTAACAGTAATAGTGGTACTTATGTAGGCTTCTATATTACCCGATCCTAAGCGATATCAGCAAACGTCCACAGTCTAAAACGACCTCAGGGGTCACAGCGAACGGCAGCGGCTGAACCGTACTAAAGACAATACGCTCGGTCAACGGGTTTGGGGTTGAGGGTTGTAAGCGCTTTAAAACCCTCAGCGTTATTAACAAACACTCCAGCTAGACTTCTAAACTCAAGCATATAGTGTGTCCATGCACCATATACCTCCCGTAAAGGAACGACTTCTGCCCCAGCCCCCCCAAACCCTAAACCCTAAACCCTAAACCCTAAGCCCTAAAGCCCTAAAGCCCTAAAGCCCTAAAGCCCTAAAACCCTAAAGCCCTAAACCCATAAACCCTACACCCTAAACCCCTAAACCCTACAACCAAAACCCCCAGCCCCCCAAACCCCACCAAATTTTGCGAACGCGTGATCTGCTCCGAAGGAAAACACGAAAAACCCAAAGGATACAAAGCAAAGGCCTCTGGAGCTCTAGGGTTTATGGCTCTAGGGTTTTGGGGCTTTGGGCTTTGAAGTTTAGGGTTTGGGGTTTTGGGGCTTTAGGCTTTAAGGTTGTAGGGTTTAGGTTTTACGGCTTTGGGGCTCTAGGGCTCTAGGGTTTTAGGGTTTAGGGTTTTCAGGTTTTAGGGGCCCCTAAACCCTAAACCCTCGACCCTAAACCCTGAACCCTAAACCCTAAACCATAAACCCTAGACCCTAAACCCTAAACCCTAAACCCTAAACCCCTAAACCCTAAACCCTTTCATGGCCGAAGTGACTCAGCAACACCGGCAGTCGAATCGGCGTGGCGGGCCGGCGCGAGCCCAGAGGCGAAAGATGCTTCGGGGCCTCAATTAAAGGAAACTACAGGTGGGGAGTTTAGGGTTTAGGGCTTAGGGTTTAGGGTTTAGGGTTGAGGGCTTAAGGGGGTTTAGGAGTTTAGGGTTTAGGGTTTAGGGCTCAAGGAAACTACAGGTGGGGAGTTTAGGGTATATAGGGCTTCTGTAAGGAGACCTTCTATAAGGCTCCAAGAACGGTAACTACCCACCTGCAAATGTCCTAGACTCAAGGAAGTTTAAGGCTCAGCGCTTCAGGGCTCTGAGGGTTTAGGGGGTTTTAGGGTTTTGAGGGTTGAGAGGGTTCCGGGGGTAGGGTTTTAGTGCTTTAAGGGCTTTAATCGGGGTTGAGGGGTTTTCAGGTGCTAAAGATTTATAAGGCTGATTAACTAAGAGCTTCAGGGTTTAGGGTTTCAGCAGTTTAGGGATGACGGTGAAGGGTTTTTGGAATTACCGTTTGGGGTCTAGGGCTACAGAAGTTTAGGGCTTACAGTTCCGGCAACAAGGGCGTAATTGGCTGGCGTCTCTGTTCATGATCTGATTCGGGCTTCCAAGGCTCGTTTTCAAAGTACCCCCGGCACTTGGGCTGCCGGATCAAAAAAAAAT